TCTTGGCCATCCTAAGAGGTTGAAAGGAGGAACATGGTGTGGGCAAGATCCCCAAGAGTGGGGATCTTTCTCTCATGGGAGAAATGAATGAAATAAAAGTTTAAAAAAACAGGCTGGGGACTGGCCAGGAACACAACTGGACCTACATGGGAAAGGTTTGAGGTACATGTCCTAGGACTTCCTTGAGTACGCTGGAGGCCTGCACATGCTCATAATCTAGGGACTGGGAGTGGATGTGGTGTCAACTCTAATAAGGTGGACCTCTCTCAGAAGAAATGAACTTACCCAAAAAAAAGATGATTAGTGGCACACAAAAAAGTTTCCTCCACCATATATTATCATCTCACCTTCAATAGCTATTCGCCTTTTAGGCCAGTTTTTGTTCTCTCTTGTTAAAATATCTTGTATCCGTACACATATGACATATTCCTCCAAAGCAAAATCCAGTGTGTAAAATTTTAACAGCTCTAACCATAACTGTCCCAGGGATACCTGATTTGGTGTTTCCAATGTTAAAGGAGACTGGAAAAGAAAAAACACTTTTCACTTACACTTCACAAAACTATAGAATCAACAAACTTTCAGATTAAAAAAAGTTCTTAGAGATGTTTTCAAAACTGAAGCATGAAGAAGTAACTTCCCAAAAAGCAGTCCATTTCAAACAAAGCTAGGAAAAGAGTCCCAGTTCTCCATCTTCAAGGATTTTTGTATTCCTTCTACTAAACCAGTGACTTTCAACCTTTGCTACACATTAGAACTACCTGGAAAGCATTGAAGTACAATAGTGCCAAAATCCCCTACCACTCTCATCTTCATACAGCTTCCAAGATTCAAATTTAACTGATCTGGTCTACTAGCCTGGGCACTGGGATTTTTAAATTGTCCTAAAGTGATTCTCAGGTGCAGCCAAGGTTGCAAACCACTGCATAACAACTACTATAGTTCCTCATTGCAATAACTGTTGAATACTTTTAAAATCTAAGTAAAAAATCTTTGGCTTTCAATAAACTAGTTCCTTCATTCAGCAAACATTCTTTTAGAACCTACTATGTTCTTGGAAATATAAAATAATGAGAGTTTGCACTTACACATAACGCTTACGATGTACCAGTTTCTTCTAAGAGCTGCACATACATTAGCAATTCTATAAAGCAGGTATTATAGGGCAAAAGCAGGTATTATAGGGCAAGGATTTGATTCAAGACCTCCTAGCTACTGAGACCATGTTGTGAAATCACTACATTATGCTGCCACTCAAATAAAATGAGGTCCTACTTTATAGACCTATTAGGAGAACAAGGTAAAGGATACATGCTAAGATGATCCTCTAAATAAGGGGAATCAAAACAAAAGAGGCAATACCTGAATTCCAAGAAAATTAGCTAGATAAAGACTGGCTAGAGATGTCCACTACAGCAGCATAAAGGAATGAAATAGTAATTCGCACCTTCAATTTTATAACTATTCATTGAATAACTACTACGTGCCAGATAGCGTTTTTGGCACTTGGAATTTATCTTTGAAAAAAAAAATCCTTGCTTTTCCAGGGAAAGAAGATAAACTTAACAAGTAAATTACATATTAAGTTAGAAGAAAACAGATGCTTGAGAAAAAAGAAAAGGGTGAATAAGCTAAAAAGGATAGGAGTGTGGGATCAGGAGATGGTTAGAGTGTTAAGGATAGGACCTGCTGAGAAAGCATGATCTGAAGAAGGGGAAAACACATGATAAAAATAGGGAACAGACAGAGCAAATGTAAAAGTAAAACACACAATAAGCTACAGGGTCAGCCCTAAAGAATCATTCTGATTGCTGTGTTAAGAACAGACTATAAAAGGCAAAGGCAGATGCAGGAAAATAAGGAGGCTATAGTAGGGTGGCTCTGTGGTCTAATGGTTAAGGTAGCTAGATCCCACATGGCCAACCATTCAATTCAAATCTATACCTTGGTGACTTGAGAAACACTCCAGGCATGTGTGCATGCATGCTCAAAATCCTGACAGGATAGAGAACTGGAGAAGGACTGGCATTATGACCATGCCCAATTTGGGGAGGGGTGAAAAGTGTTTGCTCCCTCTCCATCTCTCTCTCTCTGTCTCTCTCTATCAAGCACACGTACCCTCTGGAAAATAAAAAAAGGCTAGAGTAATAATCCAGGCCAGAGATGATGACAGCTAGAACCAGCATGGTAACAAGGGAGGTGGTGAAAGATAATCAAATTCTGGATATATTTTGAAGTAGAGATGACAGGATTTCCTGACAGACTTGATACAAAGTATAAAAGAAGTGAAGAACAGGGGCCCGCAGATAGTGTGGTGGTTAAGGGTGCTGGACTCCCACATGGCCATCTGTGGTTCGAGTCCTAGACCTGGTGACTTGCTTTCTCGCTTTCTCTCTCTCCCTCTCTCACTCTGTCCCTCTCTGGTCAAATTAAAATAAAATAAATAAATAAAGTTAAATAAAATAATTCCTTTTTTTTTTTTTGAGAAGTTTTTGCTATAGGGTGCGTGCACTCGCCAGACAGACAGAGAGAGACAGAAAGCGAGAAATCAACCCCTAGTGGGGATGGTCACGCTGCAATCCCTTCTCCTCCATTCTCAGGATCCTGTGCACGCATGCACACGTGCCGGTGTGAGTTTTAAGTCACCGGGTCCGGGGTGCAAACCGCAGTGGTCAACTACATGGGAGTCCAACGACATAGCCATTACACTAAAATAATAAAATAATTCTTTTTAAAATAATTCTGGTCCCAATAAAATAATTCTTTAAAAAAAAAAAAGAAAAGAAAAGAAGTGAAGAACAAAGGATGACTCCAAGATTTCTAATTAAGCAACTGAAATGACAGGACAGTCAAATTAAATGGGGAAAATGCATATGAAGCAAATTTGAGAAGTTTGGAAACATTAAGAGATCTATTAGACATCTAAGAAGAAACATTAAATGAACAGCTAAATAAACAATTATGGAGGTCAGGAGAGAGGTCTAACTGGAGATTTAAATTGGGGACTCATGGGGGCCAGCAGGTGATATGGTGGTTAAGGTGCTGGATGCTCCAACATGGCTGACCACAGTTTGAGTCCTGGACCTGGTGGCTTGCTTTCTCACTTTCCCTCTCTCTGTGTGTCTCTCTCTCTGGTCAAATGAAAAGGAATGAATGAATGAATAAAAGTAAATAAATAATTATTATTTTTTTTAATTGGGGAATCATCATCATACAGATAGTACTTAAAACCCAGGGACTGAATCACATTTTTTTGAACAGTTTTTGCTACAGGGCGCGTGCACTCACCAGAAAGACAAGAAAGAGAGAGAGACAGACAAAAAGCGAAAAATCACCCCCTAAAGGGGATGGCCACACTACAATCCCTTCCCTTCCATTCTCCTCTCAGGATCTTGGGCATGCATGCACACACACCTGGCATGAGTTTAAGCCACAGGGTCCAGGACTCGAACCATGGTCAACTACATGGGCGTCCAAAGACCTATCTATTACGCCAACTGCTGGTCCAGAGATTGTTTTATATATATATATATATACAAGAAATGAAAAGACCGCTGACTGAACCCAATAGCACTTCAATATCAAGAGACTAGAGAAGAAAAGAGGAACCAGCAAAGGAAACTGAGAAGGAATAACTAAATCTGAGCGTGGTGCCCTCTAAGTCAAACTCTAACGAAGAAAGTTTTCATACGAGGAAGTAACTGGCAAATGCTGACAAATCAAAGATGATAAAAACTGAGAAATGACCATTGGATTAGGTAATGTGGAGTTTATTGATATTGATGGTTTTAATATGTTTTGACAGATTGATGGATCGACACCTGATTAGTGTGAGTTAAGAGGAAACAGAGAAATCAGAAATAATGAATATAGGGGTCAGCAGTTAGTGTAATGGCTATGTCGCTGGACTCCCACATAGTCGACCACGGTTTGAGTCCCGGACCCGGTGGCTTAAACTCACGCCAGGCTTGTGTGTGAGCATGCCCAAGATTACAAGAGGAGAATGGAGAAGGGATTGTGGCGTGGCCATCCCCCCTGGGGGGTGATTTCTCGCTTTCTGTCTCTCTGTCTCTGTCTGTCTGGCGAGCGCACGAGCCCTATAGCAAAAACCTCTCAAAAA